AAAAGTAAAAAGATGCGTGCTTGTAGCATCATTCTGTGTTAAAATAAAATTGTATCAACATTTCTAAAAATAATCATCATACAAACTTTATGTAAATGGTATAATATTTATGTACTTATATTACAAAATTTTTATTTTTAAGCATTTTGTAAATTTAGTGTCTATTTAAGAAAATGCAAGTAATTAATTTGTGTCATTGTGTAAAAACACAGCTTCTAATAGATCAATAAAAAACTGAATGAAATTTTCTGAACTACTGTTCATGTATACCAGGCATACTCAAACATGGGCACCTGCCAATGACAGGCAGTCAGGCATAGAGAGTTTAGGCAGAAAAGAATGAGAATTCACAATCAGTGATGTCCAACCTCTTTCTGCTGCTGGTGCACTGTAAATGTTATAACAACATGAGACTGCAAACTACAGTCTAAGTAAACACTAGATCAAAATCAGGCTATCCATTTATATCTCTGTACTGGCAAATAGCAGCCACGGTGGTCTAGCGGTTAGAACGCTGGCCTTGTAATCCTGGGGTCTCGGGTTCGATTCCCGGCGGTGCCCGAATTTATAACTTGTGTTGGGCAAGGCCGGTCTAGGAAACACGGAGTTTTCCTCCGGGGGCTTCCCCGGTTTCTCCGTGGCATCCCAACATTTTACTCCATTCACACACAGAAGAAGGCAATGGCAAACCACTCCTGGATCATCTGCCAAGAACGTATATGAACAGGTCCCAGTCCGAGAAAAGGATGGAAGGATCCTGTTCATATGGACCTGTCATCAGACAGAACACTAAATAAATAAACTGGCAAATCTCTAATTCTAATAAAGAAAGAAGAACTTGATAATTTCATATGTCCAATTTTGAGAGGCCTTGGCAGTTTCAGAAAGATTGAATAAAACACAAAATATGGAACAGGACATGAAATGGAAATCAAATCTTAACTACCAAAACCAAATTACTGTTTCACAATTTATTTTCAAATTCAAATGGTCCCAAATGATATATAACTTCACACCAAATAACCAACAAACATATGAAACACTTTCTATATACTTTATCCTTTACTAATTTGTTTCATTATAATTTATTCATACAAATAATAATTAGAAGAATTAACAATTTTTTTAAAATAAACAAACATTAACACCTCTACTTATCTGCAAGGAGAAAACAAATCTGGCTGCACAATGTGAAAATCATATAGACAGTACTGGTGAATAATTGAACTAAGACACAATTTTAGAATAAGTATTTCCTTCATTAAAGTATATAACCAGTCAACTGATCACCACTGTTGGTGCATTACTGGCTTCAGTGCAAACACAAAAGGCATGATTTGTGTTACACCAGCTTATCAGACCAGTGACAATGAATTATGCATAAACAATGAGCTGAAAACAAAGCTAAACAAAATTAAAATAACACAAATTTCCAACCACAGACTTCTTCTTGTAATACCAATAAACTTTTTAAGCAACATATGTAACACTTACAAGCAGTGAGTCTTGTAGACTACACATCTGTAACATTACCTCCAGTTCCTCTGTATAAAATATTATTATTTCCAAAATCTGCAAACAAAACTAAACTTTACATAATATTTATAGTTCATCATCTGAATATTATATATCATACAAAAGGCAAATACAAGAGGATATGGTATCAAGAACATGAAGTTAAAGATTTAAGTGAAAAGTAGCCCAACAGCTGCATATCAATATAGGGCATGTCAAGTTATATTATTTAGACACATGTTATAACCAAACTCAAATACCAACTTTGGCTTAAGTTAATTTCCCAGAAAGGTACCATTTCATTGTAGCAACTTCTCTCCATGGCTGGCATATAACCATTTCTTCAAATTGTTCTCAGTTGAATGGATCTATATTTATTTCTTCATTTAAATGTCTGTATTACCTTTGTAAACTCTTAGAGAACAATCTGATAAATATTAATTTACAATGGCAAAAAATTAACTTTTCATAGAGGATTTTTTTGTATTTTCTTACAGGAATTAAATCATAAAAATATTCAACTCAAGTTACGTTTTACTTCTTTCTAATTCTGGGAAAATACTGGTTGGAATAAATTTGAATAATTTGGCCAAAATTTTAACTGGGCATAAGTTAGTTTAATGACATGACATCTCATTTTCAGCATTTCCATGGGTTATAACATCTTTAATATTTATGACAAGGCATACTTGTTACTTATCAGCACAGAAAATTGGAAATGGGTTTTTGGTTCTTCAATGATGTATACTGTAAAATGAAGTATATCTTAAACTGCAGTCCTATTTATATTTATCTTATATCTGTATAACATTAATAAATCGAATATTTAACTGAAATAAGTAAAGAATGAAAAGAATGTAAAAAAGGTATTATATTGTTTTAGAAGTAATAAGAATACTGTCTCTAGCAAATGTTGCTCATTATATCCATTACTGCTTTTTCCCCATGATTACTGCTGACATTTTAATGTAAATGATGTATGCACCAAATAAAAGTAAACATTAGGCCCTGAATGTGCCACTTTTGATTTTAAAATCAACATTTTATAATGCTGACTACATTCACTTCATGGTCTGGTACAGCTAAGTCTGAGTATCAATAGAATAAGTGTGAACTAGAAATAATTAAGATTTATGTTTTAATCTATGCCTGTTCCCATTTTGTAGCATATCAGGAGGCATTTCAACAGGAATCTGCTTTGGTTATAACTACAATATTTAAAACCTAGGGTCATCATAAACAGCATTTAAAAATTAAACACTGATACTACATAGGTATAGCATGATGGCAACATCAGGTGAGGCACACTACAAAATCACAAAAGCATTAGATGATGTGGCTTTGGAGTACATTTTTTACCTGGAGTACATAATTTTAATAATCCAAACTGAAAACAAATTAGCATATTGAAAGCCTTTGTTTTAATATTAAATAAAAAATCGTATGAACAAGACCACAAAGCAAAGCAATGAGTACTCCTCGGACAATCAGCCATGTAAGCATGAAGTTCAAATCCATTTCAGAGACTGTCTCTGCCTCCATCAGGGTGGAACAACCCTGTGACAGAGGCTGTGAAAGCTTCAAATCTTATATATTCTGAAGAAATATTTTCAACATAACACAGGAAACACATAGAAAGGAAATAGCAGAAAAAAAATAGGAAGGTGAAAATATCTATTTAATTTCATAACAATCCCATCATCTACATATTAAAATGCAATCTATAATGATGACCAACTGAAGGTTCTAGACCATCTACAACTACCATCCTTACCATTCAACAAGAAGAAGAAAATTTATTCTACTCAGATTTATACTCTTCACATATTATGGAAAAGAATATGATGACCTAAACAGTCATTTACTCTGGAAATTATAAAACACACATTAATACAAGCAATAAAATTGTTTTATAGAAACAAATACATATAAAAATGTAAATGCAGAAATTCCTGCTACAAAGAAGGGCTTATGACAGGAATGTGGTTTATCACCTATACTGTTTTACGCAACAGCAACGAGGCCTTACAAGAATGGAAAAGTTGCAGATGGGGTCCTGTCGATACCTGTCAGAAAAATTAATATGATACTATATGCAATTGATCACGGCCTACAATCTTGAATCAAGGATGAATTTCAAACCATGGCACACCAACCAAACATAATTACAAATAAAAGCCACCAAATAAAATCCATGGGAATGTATAAAAATTGTTTTAGACAGTTACCATAATTTAATATTTATGAAACTCCACCTCAGACCACAGAAGGGGTATGAAAATAAAATTAGTCTTGTAACAAAACACACAGCATTACAAAGAGAAACTTCAGCAAATGTTATGATAAACAAAAACAAGACCTGAACAAAGCAAAAATAGAACATGGTGGTGAGGAATAAGTAATGAACAAAAGTGTCATTGTAAGACTGGAAGCAGCACAAATGAGGTAACCTTCCCATGGAACTGCAGAACAAGATCACCAAAATATTGGCTATACATACACAAACATAATACCAAAACAGGAACTGAAATATAAAACAATGAAGCATAGAGATCCTAGATGGCCAAAGAAAAGATGGAAAGATGAACCACACCTACAAACTGATTAGATAACTGTCTTCTGGGATGATGTGCTGTGCAATCTGGTAGAAACTGGCTATGTTTCAGAGGTGCTTACTGCCCCCACCATCACTACATTGCATAATATCCCAGAAGACAGTCCTCTTCATGCTTCCCACAAGACCTGAAACCTCACCTACAAAGTTCATTAACAACTAATCCCGCTTACTTCATGACAATGCTGAGTAAAAATTAGATATGCAACTACTTGTACTGTACAACGTGAGACATTCAATGTACTGATCCTCAGAAAACCCAGTGCTGTTTTACTGATGTGCAAATCAGAAAAGGTTTGAAACCATTGATGTACATGTTTTAAGTTTAATGGGATAAATAGATGACTCCATATTTATTTCATATTATGCTATGTAATATATTTTCTTATTCTTGCAAGAAGTCTTGTATTTACAATGTCATAGTAAAAGCCACTTCCAATCTACGTTACTGACAAATAATACTTTATGACCTTAAATTATAAGATTTAGTATATAAATTTACATAAAATTTCAGGTACATATCAATCAACACACCACAAGCAAGTTAATAAAATATTTTATGCTGACATGTGAGGGACTGATGAAAAATTCCAGTACATTTTAACTTGTGGTAAGCAATAATTTCCAAATATCAAAAACAAACCTGACCAAAATATTGCACATGCATATACAAAACACTGACATGGTTGACTTATATTTTGACATTACAAAACATAACCAGTTATCAAGATATAATTCAAATAATCACTGTACCCTTGTAATAGACAATATACTTTTTGTCAATGCTTGGTTACATCATTATTCATTCTGGCACTTCCTTTAAATAAGCAGAATCACTACTACAATAAAAAATATTATATACCGAATTGTTCACTTGGGCATAACTTCATGGCTTCAGGAACAGGTCGATTGATTAAACAGCAATGATAAGTCTGCGTCTCCTCCAACTCATATATTTTATTATTCTATTGGCACTGCTTTAATATTCTGTGGTCTTTCTTACTCAAGAAGGCTCATTAGATAATTGTTTCTGTTTGAGTCAAATATTGCTGAAAACTTGCATGACAATTACATTTTACAAAAAAACATTAAGTGAAACCATATTTGCTGCACCACAATTATCAAAGTACTTTTATGATCAACAGCTTAGTATAAAAGCATACTAGAATGTGTTTTAAATTATTCACAAAGAAGATATGCACTGGTGACTTACTTTAACTGCAATCAAGATGTGTACTGTAAGACAGATGAAGCTGATGTTTTAGTGGACAGGGTAGCCTAATAATTTTAACAATTAAATAATCATTCCATACTAAAAAGTAATAAATGGAAAGAAAAGCATGGGAAAAGCTGTGTCCAGTTTAAAATATCTACACAGTACATTACAATCTATTACTGAATAAGATGACAAACAAGTATCACTATGATCACACTCAAAAAATAAGGCACTGACAAAATAATTTAACTGCTCATTAACAAAGCCAGACTATTCTGCCATTTTATTTGGGTCACCAGCTTGCTTTCTGCCATTAACAATGTCTATCAGTAGGTGTTTCCTAAGCAATTGACGGTAAAAATAATTGGGGTGTCTGTATGAGGTCAAGCTGTACGGACTATAGATTTCACCGAGTTAATGGCTAATAGGTCAAACACATGACTTCATTTTCAAACACTAATAAAAGAATTTCACACATTTCACTCTCATTCAGAGGTGGATTCAGGCAGAATAGCAAGCAGACAAACTTTGGCTATCTAATGGACCTTCTATAACTCATACTTAATTCAAATGTAACATAAACCTTGTTGCCTTCTGCTGCAGTAGCATGTAACCAGAGCGTTCACATACAAATACCACTTAACAGCAACATAGCCTTGATGAAAATGCACTAAAAATGGCATATCCAAAATTCTACTTTGTACCCTGTGTGTGTCAACATAAAAACTAAGAACACAAAAAACATCAAGACACTAAAATGGCTCTCTTCTGGGTTGTAGTACCATGTACTCTGGTAGTAGTTTACCAGTGTTTCAAGAGGTCCTTGCTGCCTCCATCACCAGAGCGATCATCATCCTGATGATGGAGGCAGTAAGAATCTCTGAAACAAAGGTAAACTACCAGAGTACTTGGTGCTACAACCCAGAAGACAGCCATATTCATACTCACTGCTCTGAGAACCTCAAATCCTACTTATCAAGACACTGTGGCCTTCAAACTCAGCCAAAAAATAAAAAATTGCAGAACACAGATTTCTTTCATGTCACCCGGATATGTAAGAGCTCAAATCACATCACTTGTTATTTATGCACACAACACATAAAACATATATATATAAACCTTTTAACATTTGTAAATTCTTAATGTGCCCTGACATCCACCACTGTAGACATTTTGTATAATATTTTTCAAACTTTATAAAAAGAAAAGCAGCACTACTTTCAACAAAATAAAAAACCCAACCACGCTAAATAATTTCTTCTGCTGAATACATGCACAAAATAACTTACCCAAAATGCACCTAAATCTATACACTTATAATACAGTTAAAGATATTTTCTCTGCCTTTTTCCTAGAAGTAACTGGATAACACTGCATGATTTAGTAATAACAATTTAGTCCCAGCAGCTCCATTTCTAATAAAACAGGACAAACACAAGTCCTTGATTTAACATAATTACAGGGATAGTTGGGGTAAGGTATGTTGGAAGGCAACAGGAACAAAATGAACAAAAATATATTAAAATTTATCTTACACCCACTCATACAAAATGCATGCACCCAATAATTAAGGTAAACAAGTACATACAGTCTTATTGCATCATTTATTCTTTCCCTGTCATTCATTCAATAACCTATGTCATCCAGTTGTATGAAATAGATCCTGGCACATCTCAAACTTTCAACCACCACCACCAAAACTGAATTTAGAACTTCACTAAAGAACATCAATGTCAAAACAATTTCATTTAAAATTACTGATCATAAACACTTGCAGTATAGCTACCAACAATACTACTGTGTGAGGGGTTAGACTACAGACTCAGCAGCAATAATATGGTATCAAAAGATTTGCATTGTTAGAACAGTATTATGTAATATTACTGCTGTAGTTGAACAAATATGGTTCTTGCAGGTCCTAAAATTCATTTACTTACTACCAGATGCCAGTGTCTCATAGTACAGTCACAAAATATCAAAGTTAATAAGTATCATTTTTCAATCTGCCCATTATAACAGCTGTTCACAGTATGCTTACTTTTGTTGTCATGGCATACAATAAAGAAGAAGTTACTTTCTGTACCTAAAACAGTAATATCTGTGTGCAGATCTCTTTTTAAACATTTTTTTGATCAAAATTCTAGCTCATCAGCATTCAGTTTTACAGTATAATAATATCAGAATCTATTTCATTGTCTGTCTTTATTAAGTGATCTTCCCTGGCCTGCAAAAATAATTAATAAATCAAAACATAGTATTAGACCACTACAGCCTTATCATAAGTGTTAATGACAGCTTCAAGGTTTCTCCAAAATGAAGAGTTGAGAGGAAAAAGAACATGAGTGTTAATTGTTTTGACTCAAATGTGATAGATTCTTACTAACACACTTATTTAAACTTCAGTGTATGCAAATACACCAAAAAATGAGATTATTTACTTCAGGAATAGATATGTCACAGACAAGACAGGCAACACCACTCTACCCACAATCCCCGAGTTGAACAGGGCTTGTGATTCATTAACACAAAGTAAACACTACTACACAACATTGCACTGTATCTATCCCTAAAGAGACAGTTCTGTGGGGGCAGAAGTGTGCTATCACAAATCCAATCTGAAACAACTGCTACACGTGATACAAATACTGTAAGAAACTGTCTTAGATCTTGTGTGTTACAAAAGCAAACATCTCAGAACATTTGTAAGTAACCAATATTTTGTTAATTAATTAGAATTAAACAACAGACAATAAAAATACTGTTTTGAATAACAGACTGACATTATACAAATATTTATATATATAATATATATAGGCATATAGAAGTTCTTTTTGTGTCAATTTTCTTTTAGAATTATACATTATATCACACAACTGTTTTGTTTAATTTCATTTACATTGTACTGATTTAGTTATTACAAAAACTGTAAGGCATTCATTTCACTGGTCCACTATACTTAACTTTCGTGTCTGCAAACAACTTGGAATAAGACATGCATGCAGATTTTCAGGAACATAATAAATCAGGAATTTATTTCTTGATACAGTTCTGAAATTAAGACAAACATGAATGTCACGTATGAAGTTAAGAACTGAAAACTGTCTACAAGTTTGTAGACCCTACCACCACAAATTATAATACTTCACAATATATTCTTCAAGGTGATATTATACCATACGAAACCATCTCTGTGATTGGTTGGAGACTTGGATCAGTTCATTTTTTGGCACCATATTTGTCTTTTCAGTGTCAGTCCATGTGAAAAGGGAAAGAAGTCAGTAATTACTGTAGTAAGAGATACTTTTGATTCATAGTTTAGTCAGATCCCAACATTGTAACTTTACTCAGAAAGCAATTCTAACTGTACTAGCAGTTCACAACTGACAGTAGGCCTATATTAAAACCCCTGGCTGAAAAACAAGATATCAACTATAAAAAACAGCTGCTTTAATCACTTCACCATGTATATTATTCCTCATTATATCATATTCCTTAAGAAAAAATTCTTTTAAAGAACAGCACATCACAGTACTAGACAGTCGAGAATGAAGATACAACAAAAAAGGTGAAATACATCTGTAACCATATATCTTATCATCACAGTAAAAGCACTATAACTTCATGGTAAGAAAGGCCACATACTCATATACAGTGAACACTGTTACCAAATTTAAAGCTATTAACTCATTCAATATCTGAAACAAGGCAAAAATCAAATCCTCGATAAACTGCAGTCATTGCATAAAGGCTGTCAAAGAAATCAGAAACCAAATTTTTAGATTCTGATATTTTGTAGATAAAGTATAACATTATAGTAACCCATACTTGGCCCACAGACTGCTTTCATCATCATGCTATTAAGTTTTAACACAACAATCATTTCTTCATAATGAAACAAACCAAACTGTCTAAATTCATATTTCCAAACTAGGTGATAAAAACTCACCACAAAACTATCAATTAATTAGGCTTGCCCTGATAAACAATGAGTTTATTAGAGCATGTTTAAATCTCTTCCAGAGACAAAATGCGGTATATAAAAATACATGACCCAAATAAAATTATGTTCACACACAAACAAAAGAAGGAAATGTAGCAACAGGACTTGTTAAAGGGTTTAAATAATTGTCTGCTGGAAAGTAACAAGCAATGCTTACTCTGCATTGTACATAAAATTGACACTGCAACGCTTGTCCCTTGGATTCATTTCTGGAATGGTAATATAATAATAGAACACAAACAGAAAAAATTCAACACTAAAGAAAAACTTAAAACACACATAAAACAAAATACATTGTATTCCATTATGAATAAACACACATTCTAACTACACCACCTCAGAAACACAGTGGCCTATCAGTATAACGTGAACAGAGGTGTAAGCATTCTGCTTCAGCAAAGAACTCGCAGACTGGCAGAAAAATAGCCAGTATTCTCCAATACACATCTCATTCATAAAGAAATCTTCAATCTACATAACATATGCAAGGAATATTCAAACTTAACTGATGGCATGTCACATCTGTAATTAATTTTACCATCTCATAATGACATTGCTATTAAATGTCATATCTGCGTAATAACTTGGCCGCATATATATCACAGAGAAAAGTAGGCGTAATTTCCTAATAATGAGCTTTAAAGAAATAATGATTTTATAACATGTTACATTCTTATGTTTGTTTTTGTTATCTTACACTATAAATTCTGGCATCCAAAAAAAAAGGTTTAACCAATGAGTACTAAAAATCCTGCATATTATACTTTACCTAATAATGTCTGTGCTCAAGTGCAGCAGAAACTTAAAACACTGCCAACTTTAAAAATTCTTACATGTCACTCATATAGAGTATTTTAAGATGACATGGTCATAGCTCACTGCACAGTATCCTGTAAGTTACAAATCTGATTAAATTTACAATCATGCAAAGACTATAAAATTTGCTTTTACACAGTTCACAATGAAACTAGAGCAGAATTAATTAATGCCTCCTGATAACTGTATACAGTGAAACCTTGATGCATCGTTTTCGGCGGGGGTGGGAAATAAAAACGATGAATGCGGGAAAACGATAGATGCGGGAAAGCATTAAAATTT